TAGACAGAAGTAAACAAGAAAAAAAAATCTCAAAAACAGCAAAGAAATTTATATGTAATGGATATATGCCGAATACTGTTCTATATGTAAAATTATCAGACTGTTTGAGGCCCGTTAGGGCCGAAAACTGTCTGATAATTTTACATATAGAATAGTATGAGGCATATATCTTACTTAAAACATTGCCATTTAAATGTCCAAAAGTTACCTGGAGGAGTCCGATAATAACACAATAGGAGTTAGAGGCATCCATTGTTTTTTACACGTCTAAGAAGTAGACAAAAGAAATGAGACAGTAAAAACAGTGAGTGAACTCTTGTTTCATTTCATTCATTCAATGGTAGTCGTTTAGCTAAGCAGGAGTGGGGTCCGGTGGTGAATGATTTCATTTTAAATTTGGAAAATTTTTATTCATTTTGTGCATAAATTGGTACAGATTTCATTTTTGGTGATATTATTACCATCACCATGGAAAGTAAAAATGGAGATTTTCATCCTGCTGGAGTTTTAGTTTATTTAATGGAAATTCTCAGGTTTTAAGAGTGCAACCACCTGGAAACAATCCTTAAAAAATTAATAGATTTACCGATTATTTTTCAGAAATGGATTAAATTTGCTTATTCAAAGTGTTGTATCAAAAACATTGTTAAAAGGTGGGAAGTATTGATTTGGAGGAAGGTTTAAGCTCAATTTCTTCTTGGATTTGCTTTTTATACCCCCCGCTTGAAAAGTGGGAGGGTATATAGTAATCGGTATTTCCGTCCGTCCGTCCGTCCGTCTGTCCGTCCGTCTGTTACGCTTTGGGGTACCCATCTCTTATCTGCAACTCCTCTTATACTACTGAGTGAAATTTAACGAAACTTTCACAGAATCTTTATTACATATTGCCATTGTGCACCTCCTATTTTACTTTTTAATCTGATGTATATTTTGGATTTTCCAGAGCAAAACATGGACACTACTATGATATTCATATGGGGGGGGGGGGCGGGGGGTATCATTTAGTGAGCTCATTGCTCACAGTACCTCTAGTTTTTAAAACAACTTTCTTTGCGATTGCTTTCCCTGAATTTTTTTCCTAACATTTTTATGGTTTTGGACATGTTTAACCTTTATTTCTCTCTTCTTTTTGTTTTTTAAATACCGTCCGATTTTGTTATCATTGCTGTCCGATAATATATTATCAGACAGGTAATTATTATTATCGGACTGCTACAGGTAAATTTTTAGACTGCAAGAACAAAGGCATGACGTCACAGCAATGCTTTAAGGAATCATTATCAGTTAGTGTACAATCAAGTGTGTTCAAATCATGACCCCAGGGGTATTGTATAGACACAATGAGCAATCATTTTTTTAACTGGAATACATAGGGAAAATCTTTGAAAATCTTCTCAAGAACATCAAATCCGTTATAAGACGTTATAACTTAATAGAATCATCGTCAGAAATGAAGATTCACTTTGCGGAGGATAACAAAGTTATACAAATTGGTAGAAAGGATATACATTGTATATGTATTTTTTGCACAAAAACTTAAATAGTAAATCAAACGTATAGGAAAAATATTTGAAAAATCTTCTAACGCCAAGATTAGCCAAAAATACACGTGTATCACTGTATGGAAGCATTCTTAGATAGATACATGTAGGGGTCGAAATTTGTAAACACGCTTTTATTACACACTGTACTTCAATAAAAAAAAATTCTAACAACATATAAATAAATTTATAAACTGATATTATTTTCTACATTGGGTGTTAGACGCAGGTGTCGTGATTTACTATCATTATTGTGTTTGATTTTATCAGATAGCAAATAGGTAAAATGATGTATATATTTATTTGCAGGTATATAAACTTATATACTCTTGATATCAATATGTCCCATAATCATGCTTTATACTTGTATGTTACTTACATTTCTACATGCTATCTCTGGATATGGTATGAAGTTTTTTTATTATTTTTAATCGTAGTGTAAGTTTTCATTCCACATGATTTGTTTTTCTTTAGTAAATGACAGATTCATGTCTGAGGAGGCGCCATGATTACTTGTTTTCTGTGTGTAGGTATGTATTGGTGTGCGGGGTTGGGTATGGGTATTTTTCTTTTTTGCGTTTGCTCAAAGTGCTGCTTCTAGCGAGAAACAACACTTCAAAATTACTCCTCATAGTAAAAAAAAAATATGGTTATATTTAAATTTTATTCAAATGCAAATCTTCAAAATAAATTATTGGTGAAAGGAAAACTAGATATTTTAAAAAGTATGTCATTGTACAGACCCTAAACCGTGCTACTACAACTCAGAAACGAACCGTACCGTTCCGTGCAGAAAGCGTACCGTGAACAAAGCATACCTTTCCGTGCACAAAGTGAACCGTTCCGTGCACAAAGCGTACCGTACCGTTCTCAAAGCGAACCGTTCCGTTCACAAAGCGTTCCGTACCGTCCACAAAGCGTACCGTTCCGTGCAATAAACGAACCGTACCGTTCTTTGGTTAATTATGCAAACCACGCCCCCAATGATTTTTGAATCGTGTAATGACCAAATAAGTCATTTTGATTTATTTCTCGCTACGGTGCCTGTGAAAGGAGGACGGAGGTTGTGTCTGCCTGTTCGAAACACCATTATCTTGTATCATGCGTCTGGGCCTTCAACTGTAAAAATAAGGAAACTACTCGAAGCAAACTACAACTTTAAAACAACTAGACAGAGTGTGAGACGATTCTTATTTGCTATAAATTAGATCAACTGGTTGTGTTTGTGGTCAAAGGTACAGTACAGGCTACGAGTTCTTCCCGCAAAACACGTACGGGGCACAGTGGACCTCGAACAATGTCGGCGTCTTTGCAGTCTTTCATTTCCTTTATATTAGCAAGTTAAATCAATTTCCTTTTGAAAAATTAGTTGTATTTAAATATTCGTAAGTTAACTATACAGATATTTAAACTAATATTATAAGATGCCCCAAAATTCAATATGATCGTGCTCGTGCCCGGGGAAAAAACCCTCTTTTAATGTGTACATGTACATTCATGTTTCATAATCCTATAATTATTTTTGACATAAAAATAGGTTCAATAGACTATATAATACCATTTAGATAGAACACACTTTCATGAATTAATTCCCTGGTTTTCTCTTCTTTTGATTTTCATTTTGTTCATTTAAATTATTAAATCTTATCGGATACAAGATCGTTTTTGTCGCAAGTATGCATTCATATGTAGTACATATCAGATGTGTGATTTTACTAATGAATTATTTTGTAAGAATTTTAAAACATATATAAACTGTCTAGAGTAAAATTTAAGAAAGAACCGTATTAGACTCTCACATTAATTCTGTTAAGATTTTTACTCTAGGCGAATCATTGGTGCAGTTATACTTACACTGAAAATGTGTAATCATGTAAAATATGGATTAAAATATTACATGCGGTAAACGTGAAGGTTTCTACTGAACTGACAGAGATGATAATCTTACTAATAAATATAAATAAAACTGTGATCAACTTTCACGCTGCATACAAAAATCGCCAGCCGATTTCTTGCAAATAAAATGTGCAAACTGCAGTATAAATATTACTTCATTCTGAAATGCATCTCATGAAAAATGAGAAAAGAAAAACAGTTTGCGAAAAAATAAAGCTATAATGAGGTTTGTTGCACTGTACCCCCATCCCCTTTCTAGAAAGCGATACGAATTAGCTGGTTAAAAGTTCTTTAGAAGTCTGCAAAATGGTACGTTGGTGTAAATAAAAAAAATCATAATCTACAGGAAACATCCTTATTAGTGTCTGAAAAAAAAAAGAAATTTACTAAATAAAATGAAATTTAAAAAAATATCAATCCTCTTTCAAGCCATACGAGTTATGTTTGTAACCCCCCCCCCCCCCAGAAGGCGATACTTACGCAACTTCATGTGACTTTAAATTGTGCTTTTGTTAAATATAAAAAGAAAGAAAATTATAATTTAGGGATACAAGCTTATTCATTTTTGTCTGAAAAGGATAATTTAGGAAGTAAAATTTGTAATCAGTGTTGTGGTGAAACCTGAAAGATGAGTTTAGCTGGATGTCAGTTGAGTGATTAAATACACTTGATGTGGTCAGAACTAAATACAGTATAATTTGTCCAAACCGGCTACCGCCCGTTCCATAAAATTTGGCCGGTTTAGACAGAATCCGGAGTGCAGGAAAAATGCAGGAAAACATTAATTTTGAAAATTTCGTTGTTTATTTACAAGTTCATTATTATACATAATATAAAATATAATTAAATGATGAAATCAATCAATATTTTGGAGTCTAGAAATTATAAAATAGTCTCTTATGACTTACTGTATTTATTTGTTTTTCACGAAGTTTGAAAGTCGGGTGAAATGTAACCTAAATGAAAATCTACAGGCACGCATAATATAGGCCTACTATATATCAAGCGAATATGTTTCGCTTGTCAAAGAGCTCATTCAATGTAAAAAGAGTAATGCACAATTATTTACGATGTGCTAATTATTAGATTGAACTTTCAATTTTTATGTAAAAAATTACGTCTTCCCCCACAGTATTATTGCGCCATTTTGAAATGCGTCCGATTTTCGATCCCGATTTATATATTGATTTGTAAATCACGTACATATTTATTTTTTTGTTATAATGTGGTAAAAGGATCGAGTTAAAACAAAATTATTATTTTTTAATTGTAATTCAGTCATATACTAGATATTTTTTTTCAACTGGGCTGTGTCACCGCCGCGTTTCACTGAGTTCGTTTCATGGCACTGCTAATGTAAACACAGATTATCACCACGAAAGGTGTTAATTGCTTTGAAGTAACTCAGGTGTGGCCGGATTAGAGGAAATAATTACCGTTAATTATGAGCAGCTGGGACCAGTATGGCCGTTCGGAATACAGAATAGACAGTATCCGGATTACACAGAATTTTTTCTAATGAATTTGTTAAAGAAGTGCATGGGACTAAAATTTATAGACGGAATGGACAAAAATCCGGAGTACACAGAGTCCGGATTAGACAAATTTTACTGTAATTTCAAAGGTGTGTTAAACACACGGCGCCCCCGCCCCTCCGGCTGTGACCCAATATTTTTTTTAAACAGGTGTGAACTAAGAATGTTTTAAATTACAGGAGAAATTCTTCCTGCGTAAACAGACTTTCAGGGTCACCTAGCGTCATGCCATTTTGATTGACAGGTGATCCTCTCTGCGTGCAGCATGCATGTACAGAAAACGGATTATTCAATGCACAATAGTTGTAAATGGGTTGATTAAATAGAATCATAGACTGATTAATTGTGACTTTGGCGATGTAAATAAAACGAAGAATGAGAATAAATACAAGTTATTATTATTTTTTTTTTACAGATAATGGGGTTGCATCTCTCTCTCTCTCCCCCCCCCCCCCTCTCTCATTCACGATATCTACAAAAATAGAATAACTTAATAAAATAAAGGAAAAACTAATTAAAATAATTACTTAATACACTGAAAGGATTATTGAAAACATAAATACTTGTCTGTACAAAGAATGTTTTCTCGCGAGAAAGCGCTCGGAAGTTATTGTAATGATTTCGTGTTTCTGCTGCTGATTTCGTATTTATTTTGTTTACTGATATTTCTCTTCTGAAGCAAACGTTTAAACGATAGATCTACAATTTTAAAAATAAAAAAAACAATGTACACATCTAATTACTAGGAATAAAAATGAAGCAGGAATATATAGTCATATTTATTTCTATAGATCAATCAATTAAAAATAATTTATATATGTGCGTAGCGTTATATGTATAGAACAAGTATATACCCGGTATATATTAATTTCTTTTAATTATGTTACAAGTTTATTTTAAAGTGAAAAAAATATTTCATTTATTTTTTTTTTCCTTTTTAAAATGAAGGTTCAGCATACGTAAAAAATAAGCACGGAAATATTTACGAGTTCTATATCTATACATAATGCCAAAGACATCGGTGGCATGATGTTTTTTCTTCCTTTCATTTTTTTTTTCATTTTTCCTCCATCACCGCTGTAGTGTAAATTTATGTTTAAATTAAAACCGAGAAATTAATTTGTTAATAGCGGAAATATAATTAACAGTCAAGAATTAAAGCTAACAGGCTCCGCCCACTTCATTTGCATACCGTTTCCCAAAGCGTACCGTTCACAAAACGAACCGTTCCGTGCAAGAAACGAAACGTACCGTCCACAAAGCGTACCGTTCCGTGCACAAAGCGTACCGTTCCGTGCACAAAGCGAACCGTTCCGTGCACAAAGCGTACCGTACCGTGCGCAAAACGAACCGTTCCGTTCACAAAGCGTACCGTTCCGTGCACAAAGCGTACCGAACCGTACCGTTCAAGTGGTGTAGTAGCACGGTTTAGGGTCTGTATAAAATATGTATAGACTGATAGCTTATTATCCAAAATTCGTTTTCGTTTTCAGAAAACATTGCTTTGAATAAACCTACACACCAATCACATAAGTATATCTATAAGAAGTATGGGACAGCACCATTCGACTCCAGCAATGCCGTAGACGGTCTGAAGACTGATCTTTCAGCTTTTGGAGGTCAATGTGTGATATCCGGAAATGGATACAACACCGCCACCTGGTGGGTAAACCTGACGTCAATCCAAAGCATTCATGATATCCGGATATACTATAGGACTGACAATACACCATGGGGTATTTAGATTTTTATTTTTTATTAAGAACATACGCAAGGTACCTTATCAACTGATGATTTAAGATTAAAGTGCCATCAGATGTTCATAGACAAAAAATCAGCATGCATTACCCGTGGTATTTGAAAGATACCAAATTGTGAAAAATTTTGCATTATTCAAAGAAAAATATACAAAACTTACAAAATATAATTTCCAGACTTTTTTTTCATCAAAATTTGTTTTAAAAGGTACAAATCCATATATATACATTAAAAAGCCAAATGGTTATTCGTAAGAAGGGGCGTTATGAGAGAGAATTTTTCAATATAAAATGAAGAGTTTCTTGTTAATTTTTGGGGCTGAACAAATATCCAATTTCAAAAAATGCTAAATCTTTTCAGATTCCTTGAATGGTTTTGCTACAAGATTTTTAGGATTTTATGTTTATGTTTCTAACACAACGAACAAAGCGGATGGTGAATTATGTTTTCATGACACAAACTACAGTAGAGCCACGATTCCAGCCGTCCTCGACATACCGTGTCTCGTACATGGGCAGTACGTCATTTACTACAACGAGAGGCCTCAGAATTCGTCATATTCCAGTCAATATTCGCCAGATGCACACAATGAACTATGTGAAGTTGAGGTCAATGGTATGATTCAGTTTTTCAATAGTCAATGAAATATATAGAGATAACGAATAGAATTAAGCTGAAAAGTCCATCAAACAATACAAAAAATGGGAGCAGAGCAAACATATGGACCTCTAATACATCAGAGGTGGGATCAGGTGCTACGGAGCAGTGACCATCCCCAGCAGGGAGGTTGATATTGCTCCTTTCAGACAACAGAATGGTGACTGAAAAGTCTGGAAAGGTGTCTGAATGGTGTAGATCTTTCAAGCAGTCGCCTTTCAGTTAGCCTTCAGTCACTTTTTAGTTAACTAAATGACAAGTGATTTATCCTACGTAACTTTTCTTACTGATATATCAATATTCCAATATAATCTACACTTATAGTGTTTATTGTCTACCAACTGAAATATACTCAAAAAGCATGCCCCGAGTACGAATGAATGTAAACGAGGCAAGCTACTGACAAAGGTGATGTTACAAGAATATAAAACGTCGTTAAGCAAAGTCAATTTTTCGGAAATTCACGGTCATTATAAAGACTATTTTTTGTAAATAAACTATCTTTAAGGAGTTTTGTTTGAAGTGTTTTATACCAGGTACATGTAAATGTTCTTTCTCTCTCCTTTTTTTGGGGTGGGGGTGTTATTATTAATTTGACGACGGAGTACGGCATATATATACTTGATTAATACAAGGGGCAAACAGTGGGTGTGACCGGTTAATTTGGAATTCTTAATCTTCTATATATATATATATGTCCTGTCCACCTCTGGTTTTTCCAGTGGTCCATGTTCATGATTTTGTTTCTGGATATATAAGAATGGCACCTTTTTCTACATATTAACCTTAAATCTCAAAAAAAAAAAAAATACAATGAAAATTAATTTTCCTCATAAATTTTCTAAATTACGATTACCCCATAAACTTAGAGAAAATTAGAAGTATTGGACACTTTTTTTTATTTCTCAAAAATCAATTCAAACATTAGAAAAGCTACGGCCATCCAAATTAAATTTATAGATATACAAGTCTTCAATTGAAAACAGTTTAGCATTTACTAAAATAGGGGGAAAAGTTCAAGAAATAGAATTCTTTTGTATTGAATCGTATTCTCCATTCATTTCAGGTTGCAATAAAGCAGGGTATTATGGACCGACCTGTTCTATCCCCTGTCGAAGGAATTGTCATTATTGCCACATAGAGACGGGGGCTTGTCAAGGATGTAAACCCGGATATAAGGGACATAACTGTGAAATACGTAAGTGAACAGACAGGTGCATACCAAGGTCAAACCTTGTGTAAAAGTGACGTCACTACAAATTAAGTATTTAAACAGACAGGTGAATGCTTTAGGTCTATGGTCAAACATACTAAAAATTGTAAAGATATCTATGGCACGCACAAAAATGAGCTAAGTAAATCATAGTTTCGCAGTTGATAAATTAGATTAATCGACTGTAAACTACGAGGGCTGTTCAATAAATAATGTCCTCGGTGCTCGGAAAGAAGTAAAAGACGCTTTTCAATGATTTAGTCTTCATAATTTAACTTATTAATCTCTTTTGATTAAAACACATGTCCATAACATTTTTTATCCAATTTCTAATTGCTTTTAAAACTCATTTTTGGGTATGACCCTTAGTATACTGGAAAATGGCAGATCCAATGATTTCCTGGACTTGTTTCTTCCTTCTGAAAAGGTGTTTTATAGAAACAAGTCAAAAGATCAATGATCTGGCGAATATTGTTAATGTGAAAGAATATTAACTTTCTGTTTATCCTGAAAACAACTTTACTCTTCAAAACGTGCGGGTTTTGGACGCTGTCATGAAGAAATTTAATGTAATGGATTCCTGATTCTGGGTCCTTCCTCTAATAAATCTTTCGATTTTTTTGCAAAAAAAAATATTTTCTGGACTCCTCCAGAAATTAAACTGTCTCCCCGAATACGACTTTGAGCAATAATACCACTAATATTTAAGAAAATTGCATATAAATCTGTCTTTGTACTCTTGCAATTCTTTGATCTTTTCAGACCTTTGCTGTTTTTATCAAGTACATCTTATGGTAAATTTTGTTTTGAGGAGTTTAAGTAATAGATTTGTTCCATTAGCTGTTTAAACGTGGATAACTACAATTACTGATATTTTAAAATAATTGTAAAGACATTCGCTGTCGTTTTCATTCATTTTTTCAAAATATAGGGTAACTTTCAGTACTAAGCTTTTCTACCGTCAAACGTTTCTTAAAAACAGTGTAAAGTACTCCCGAAATTATGTCTATCAAATTCCATATTTTGTGACGGTGTCGAGATACCTACATTTGAAATTATTGTTATAATTCACGAAAAGAAATCAAAATCGCTAAAATTAAATTTTGCTAAAAATCAACTCATGCGGTACATGTATTTATACTTGCAAATATTTCCCTGGGTGAACCTATTTAAGAGCAAATATATTTTCCTGTGTGCACAGCGCCACGTTTAAATTATTCCCATAATTTCTCTCGCACTTAAAGAGGAGTTTGATGAAATACTGGAGAAAAAGTGCCCATGGTGAGCGCTGTCACCCATTAGCCTTTTGTATTGTAAAAGATATCTTAGGGGGGATATGGACATAATTTTTTCCCTACGTTTGAATATTTCCTGGTTAATTCATGGAGTGTACTGTAAATTCCTTATTTTTTGCGAGCACTTATAATCTCAAAATAGCTCTTTAACGTCAAATCGCGAGAATAATTATTCGCGAATAAACGATTGATCGGGAGAATTTACATGGAATTTAGCACCATAAAAATAAAAGCAAGTAACTTAATTTCGCGTTTAATGCTTCTCGCGAAATTACGCGATAATGAATTCCTCACTGATAATTAGGAATCTACAGTATTTCAAGGAGCAATAAAATTTAAACTTTGAAATTTTAATACCAGAGTGTAATGGAGGGTGGTATGGTCAGGACTGCGCCCATAAATGTGGTGCCTGTTTTGGTGGTGACAGACAATGCCACCACGTGAGTGGTACCTGTGTGGAGGGGTGCGCAGCTGGCTTTCAAGGGCAGCTTTGTAAAACGAGTACGTCACGAAGAAATTTATACCATTATATACAGCGTATTACAGAGGAAAATATTTAACAGTACTTATTGTTAAAGATCATTTCTTTGTCAAATAAGATAAAACAGAGACCATGTAATTTCCATTTGAAAACCTCAATTATAGCAGCAATTTTATTTTTATGGTGCACAACTAAATAAATAAAAGAGGGAAGACATTTTTGTCGATTGAAAGGTAGACAAATATAATCCAAAATGATGTGCTATTTCTTTTAATTATTTTTAAGAATGTTTGCCGGGAACATTTGATAGAAACTGTAAAGGGAATTGCTCTCAAAATTGTCGAATACCTGGACAATGTTATGCAAGAACGGGGGCGTGTAAAGGGGGATGCCAGCCTGGATGGGAGGGGCCACAATGTGAAACGGGTAACAGTTTTGATATAAAAAAAAATACTTCATATAATGGTGCATTGTTCTTTTACTTCTCATTTATTCATTCATTCCATATAGTTTGCATAGGGAAGTACGGTGAGAAATGTTCCCAAGTGTGTAAATTTTGTCGGAATTCTGTCTGTGATCCTGTGGATGGATTCTGTATGCAGGGATGTACCGAGGGTTATCAGGGACCTCTCTGCAATAAAGGTAACTTATCTATTTTACCAAATGTATGAAATATTTGTGTTCTGTGCTGAAACATATGGAGATAACGAACAGTATTTAAGATCATTAAAGTCCCTAAAACAATTACGAAATAGGAGCACAGCGAACAAGGGCCTCCAAAACATTAGAGGTGGGATCAGGTGCCATGGAGCAGTGAGCATTCCATGCCGACCGGGTGCACCTGCCGTGTGCTAATTGTAATGATCTGGTAATAACAGAATAAAATCCGTCGTCAATTCAGTGAAAAAATAATGGACTACCAATTAGTATAAAAAACGTAAGTCTCAGTTATGTTCATGTAAGAGAGTCTCTACATATACATACGATATACTCAGTAGTTTGTAATCAATATCTTATAAATTCACGTCTAATACATTTCTTTCTCTTTTTGTTATTTAAGTTATTTTAATTCATTTTCCAGGCGTGCAGTTTATTCTTACAATTATTAACTTTTTAAGATTTATCTTTTTGACACAAGCTTTGTTTTAGTATGTAATGCTGGATTTTATGGCAATAACTGTAAAAAAGAGTGCAGCCTCTTCTGCAAGACATCACGTGACTGCCATCACGTGACCGGAAATTGTAAAGACGGATGTATAGGAGGGTGGCGGGGTGCAGAGTGTTTGCAAAGTACGTATCTTATCCTAGCTAAACGATACTAAACGATTTTTCATGGAAATATGTTATAAAAGCATTAATATTGTGCATTGATCAGTTTTTAGTTGAAGTTGAAAAAAAACATGTTATAATTGCAAAGTAATGTGATGTAATATGTCATGGTTTTGTGCAGTTGTAGAAACAGGAGTATGGCACTCCAGATTTAATGGTGTTCTTGCAGGCCTGTGCCTAAGCATAGGAACGATCTCGGGATTGATATTCTACATATATATGATTAAGTAGGTTTATCGTTTTATATATCTTATAATAAAATTTTAAAGTATTTTACGATCTGATCCATTTTATTCTATTTCTGGCGATATAGATAAAGCATTTTTTATATAAATTTTGACAGTACTCAATTTTTTTTTTAAAATACTGTAAAAATATAGTAGATAGAAAAGTTTGATTTCAGTTCATTAAAAAAATATCTGTTATAAGTATTTGAAAACTTTATTGTAAAGGTTATCTCTACTGATTTTTTTTTTTGGTTACTTTTCTGCAGAAAAAAGTACCGTAAAAGAAAAAGAGAGCAAAACACGGCATCTAATGCGGGACCTGTCAACATTATTTCTAGTGAAGCTGGCGAAGCCGGGGAAGATGCAAGAAAACATTACTCGTATCATAAGCTTGCCCAATCGCCGATTTTATCAGATTTATAAATGCTGTTATTCTTCTCAATCTAACGTGTCTCAAAGTAACATGTGTTTACTTTTAAAAAAACTTCATTGATTATATCAGAGACATGCAACACGACAAACTGAAAAATATCAAAACTAGTAAGGAGCACATGGCGGGTGTGACAGATTGGGGATGCTCACTCCTCCATGGCACCTGATCCCACCTTTGATGCTTTGGACTCTGTGTTTGGTCTGCTCATATTTTGTATTCTTTTATAAGCTATTGATCTGGAATAATGATCATTATCTCTATATATTTCAAATATATTATTAAAAATGTACTGCTATTTATCTATATGCGCGTAAAATTCAACAGTAGTGTAAAGGGTCATCAAAAATAAGAAAATCATACAAAGCAGTTTCATAATATTTCCTTGTTAATCTTTACATATGTGTTAAGTTTTTGAAGCATAACCTCGGTATACTCATTTTTAAGGATCCCTAAACATATACCGAGGAATAGCACTTTCTAAGACAAAATGAAGAAGCCTCCTTTTAATTATTTTGTAGCGTTTTGGAATAAAAAAAATCACACTGAATGCGATCTAGCGAATGTGGGGATAGTAAACAAAAGCACGTGTGTTTTTTATCGGATATATTCAACTCTACAGTAATAAAAGAAAAGCAGCAATGGGTTTGTTTATATTGTGGTGAGAGGACTGACAGTCAATGGGTCGTAAAATAATTATGCTGAAGTGGAAGTTTTAATAGCTAGGTAGACCGGATGAGAACGATTCTATAGGTAATGTGAAGGAGGCACCATTAAAAGTGACTAATAAATCCTTGCAAAAGTGTTTTATGACAGTTCGATTCCAATAAAGTAAATTATAGAATAGAAACAAACAACCAGTCTCTTGGTCAATAAGATGAAAAATCTTTATTACAGTTATGAGTCATTATCAAAAACCGCAGAAAAAAATATTGGAAAAATCAACAAATTTCTTGCATTTAGAATTAATTTTTTTTTATCGTTACTATAAAACACATATCTGAAGAACACAAAAACACTAAACTCCCACCTGGAAATTATTTGATTTCAGAGTAAGAAGAAATCAAAATACTGGTTCACCTAAAATTTTGTCCTTCCTGTTACAGACACAATAATGCAAGTTTTAATATTAAGTGGTGGAAAAATAATTATAAAATTAGTTAAGCCTAGTTTGTGAAAGCATGGCAAATAAAAAAATCAGTTATAATTTTTCAATGAAACAGGAGCAAAATAATTTTTTCAATGATTTTAGAGACAATTTTCAAATCTGAACATCATTTTGGTCAATATTTTCACCATTTTACAGTCGTAAAAGTTAGTATAAAAAACCACATTCACACATTTGATAAGAAATGGCATTTTATGCATGCATGTAGATCCAATCTTGTTACAATTACATATAAACCACATATTTTCATAATTATAGTGCATGTAACAGGAAAGACAGGCCCATAACAGGAAAGACAGTACTTTGCAATAGACATGTCTCTCCTGTAACAGAATCCTAAATTCTAGTTTAGAAATGATTGGAAAGTAAATATTGAATCAGTTTCAGTCTGAAATCTGTTAATATATTATAAAGATATAGAGTAACTAAAGCAATTCCAGAAAAATATGACTTTGAAAGGTTTTTTGGTCTCTCAGTTAAAAAGTGTAACAGGAAAGAACAGAACATGCAACAGGAGAGAAATTTCTGTGTATCTACATCAAATTCTTTATTTTGTTAAACACATCATTTAATTAATCCTGAAAATTTACGCTGCTGTTCCCAAATAATGATTAAACTTTACGTTAAAGTTAAGATAGGAACAAATCGAGTATGAAAATAATGAATATGTATGACTGTTACAGGAGAGACTTTTCCAAATACACAGTATTGTAATATTACAAAACAATGTTACATGTTAATTAGATATAACATAGAATAATTGCTGAATTACAAGTAAAATGTAAAACAAAATAAGATTTACATTAAGAAAATTGCTTGCCTATGCAAATATTGGCGTGAACAATGTAAAGGAAGGACACTGAAAGACACTAGAGTCTGAAAAAAATATTTAAACTCCATTTAAAAGAAAAACATGGATTTAGAGAGCCATCCTCCTTTTGCCTGTATAATTTTCTTTTACCTTTCTTTAGAAGAAAACTTTCTTTTTTCACTGTTTTTTTTAAATATAGAAACATAAAATATTACCTGGTAGTTCAAAAAAGTGTATGTTTCTGGCAAGTTGTTTGATTAACTTGAGAATTTTCCACTGCAATTTGGAAATGGGTCCTAGCTAGGTCATCAAAATTGGGAATTTAATTTCATTTTATCACTGACTGGGAAATTAAATCACTTGGCAATTTTCAACAAAACAAAACAAAAACAAACAAACAAACAAAAAGAAAAAAAAAGAAACACTCATGATGTTTAGTATAGCTTACAGTATTTGAGCCAAATGCTCAGATGAGCTTTTCTGATTGAGATTTGTGTTTTGTTTGTTGGTGTTTACTTAATTGTTATTGTTTTCTTAAACTTCTCACATTTTTTTTATCTTGGTCATTTTAACTATATTTAGCACAGAATATCTTATGAAAAGGAAATTTAAATTGTTCAAATGAAGGGTCACACCCTCTTCCAATAGATAATTAAAAAAGAATGAAATTCTTTGACAGGTCATTTAAAAAAGACCAGAAAAGATCAAATTTATATGTAAAGCTTCATGACATAGTGTAGATTAAAGTTTGTTCAAATCATGAAGCCTTAGGGTAGGGTATGGCATTATGAATGATCAAAATATTACTGGCGTAAGTTGAGACACATATCAACAAATCTCTTTTCAGGAACAGCAAACCCTTGGTAAGGTGTTAAACAGTATATAATCAATCAATCAATCGATCAGTCAAATCTAAATAAAGGCATTTATACTTAGTGTACATTCTAATTTGTTCAAATCATGATCACTGGTGTAGGGTTTGGCATCTATTGGTTAATTTAGAGTTATATTGGGGGTACAAATAATTATGAAAAATCTTTAAAAATCTTCTCATTACATGTTGCAAAGCCAGGATCAGTAATAATAGATAAACCATACAATTTTGACTGTTTTGTGGTGTATTGTAAATTATACCATGGTTTGGGTTTCATGACCCTGGGTTTAACCTCACGAGACGAATGACCCTCAGGAATTGGGCCTAAATTCCAACCTAAACAGGGGTATCAAATCCCTTAACCTGAGTGAAACCTTTTTTTTAGAGATGGAAAAATATATACTGCCTATAGCTAAGAACCATAATTTATTGTGTCCTTCCTGTTAAACTGAATTAATAAATAAAAAATCATATATTGAATTTATATTATACTGTGCTTAAATAAGAAAAAAAGTTCTCAAAAATTGTTTATTTTATAGCAATGCCCGTCTTTCCTGTTACAGAATCATATTTAGAAGTCCTTTAATATCAAAAATTATCTTTTCATAGTTGAAAAAAGAATAAAAAATAAAATAATTACTACAAAGTAATAAAATGAAAATAATATTAAATCTGACAAATTAATAAAAGTCCACATTTTTTTCTGATTTAAGCAAAATTTGTCCGTACTGTTACAATATGCTATGTCTTTCCTGTTACAAAATCACTTTTTATGTGTCAATTAACGATTAGAAACAATGAATCCTTACTCAAGGTGTATTTGTGTTACTTACTTCAATTTTAATAAAAATCATGCAATAAATTTCTTGGTTAATGATGAGATAGGTCTAAAATCCACATTTTATTTAATGTTAGTCTTTCCTGTTACAAAAATTGTCTTTACTGTTACAAATTAACACGTAACAGGATGGACATATAACAGGGTAGACAATTGCTCTATATTTGGTCATTTTTTTCCTTATTGCTTACCATACAAGCTGATGATGCAGTAGGTTTGAAGCAAAATGTTTAAGTTATCTTGTAAAAGAAGTTAAAATTGTTTCACTCCATTGTGCTTTATTTCAATGTAACAGTACGGACGTCATTTTTTTCTACTGCGTAAATCGTAGTTATATTTTGGACATTTTATTCAAGCTTAAAAAAATTACATTAACAACCTAGTAACATGCAAATGTAACCAAGGCTAATGGTAAGTATGAAACCCAGAAAAGTTAATTCTAAATATTTCTATTTTCTTGATTTTCATTTGCGTAACAGGAGAGACAAAAACTCGTGGGACACACCTTTTAGTCTTCATATTTACAAGATGAGCTTATTTAAGACACTTTTAGTGTTTTTATGGCATTTATTATGAATAGTTTAAGGCATACAAGGAAAAAAATGAAAAGAAAATGAACAACATATGCCATAAAACACTTGTTAATTCAATGGAAAGGAGTGTGTGACATCACAAAATGTGCTAATTTGAGCTATTATCAATGCATTTTTTCTTTAAATATATCACACAGCTATAAAATTAATATTCTGCCAACTACTGAATAATGTATTCTAAATAGTAATATGAAAATTTATATAATTTTTACTTCATATACTTTTTTATCGGCTTGTGACCAAAATTTTGGCGATTTTTGATAATGACTCTTATA